TGTTTTTCCCCAACAAGGTCACCAAGGATTCCACTCAGAAGCGTTGCCATTGTCTCCCCGCTAATGCCCTTCTTGTTGCTGCACATGGCAAGGGAGCTCTTGGGAAATACTTGATGGCAGCACATACCCAACCTTTCACAGGTCACAGAAAACACATTCAGGTCCATTAGTTCTTGCATTAAGTTAAAATCAATCATTGAACCAGCAAGGAAGCAAGCAAGTAAGTATACACCACAACTATATATGGAAAGTCCTGCAAAGTGTTCAGAAACAGGCAGGTGGCATGTACCATCGAGCAGTAGCAGCACACTTTAGCCACCTACTCAAAGCCGGGATTGGTGGTCTGCTGCAGAGGACTACTTGGCAATATGTACTCGCAGCCAGCTCAAGAAGTTCTCCTTTTGGAAGACCACCGCAAGGGCATGACATAGAGCAGTAGTGGCGTGGCACAGGAGACCTCCAATCACCATTGAACAAGCACAGAAACATTCTGAGTTGCTCCTGGCGTGCAGCAGCCACATCAGCAGGCAACTCCTCCAAGTACTTTGGGTCTCTCATTTGCTTCACAGTCTTCCTGAGAACAGTATGTGCATAGACTGCCCAAGACTTCTTGGGTTCTTCTCCATAAATGATTTCCAGATTGCTCTTGATGAATGCCGCACTGTGCAGAATTAGCTCAAAGAAGTTCTGTCCGAAAGACACGACGTTTGCCAAGCAAAACCTGAGAGCATGCAGAGCAAACAAAGCAAATCGGTTGATGGGAAATCCCAGGCCTGAAATGAACTGGATTGCCTTGATTGCCCTGTGCATGACCAAACACAGCCAAACCATGGATAGCTGATCAGTGACAATGATTCAACAAGCGATGATGATGATCATGATTCATGATGATGATGATGATGATGATGATGATCATGAATCATGATGATGATGACCTGACTCTGATTCTGATTCTAATTCTGATTCTGATGATGATTCGCGATACAAACTTTGCACCCTCAACTGCAGAAAGCGTGCTTCCATTGGGCCGAGCAACATGGCATTGATGCCACACCCTCGCCAAATGCTCTCGACAGCATGGTTGCATTCGTGCCTGTCGAAGTAACAGCCAGAGGATGACTCACAGACTGATAGACATAGACAGTGACAGTGACATAGACAAATATAGACATCGACATAGTCACATAGTGACATAGACTCAGACTTAGACTAGACATGTCATAGACTCACACTCATAGACGCCGCAGCATAAACATGCCAGCTAAAACAAGAACCCTGTACACTCCGTACGACCAAACCCTGTACACTCCGTAGTCTCCATAGTCTCCCTTTTAGTCCAACTCCTACACAAGTTGTGGGTAGTTTGTGAAGAGTCGCGTCTATCAATTCACAACCGAGTATCAAATCACATATGTGATGTATGTGAAGCGTGTTTGGAGGCAAATTGTTTGACAGCCATCGCATCAATTTGAGGTTGGAAGGAGCAGCATCTGACACAAAGGAGAGGACATAGATATCAAAGGCTGACGCCCAACCTTAGGACTACCATTCCAGGCTCAACACAATCTCTTCACTCTTGAGATATGATATGACTCATGACATCTTCTCCAACCATTTCCGCTCAGGTACGCAGCAAGTGAATCCATTCCAGGCTCAACACATCCTATTCACTCTTGAGATACGATATGTGATATGATATGACTCATAATAACTCATACATACCGATGCCGATACCGGACTCATACCATACTCATGACATCTTCTTCAACCATTTCTGCTCAGGTACGCAGCGGATGAATGGGCTGTTTGGATACAATTCCAGCCCAAATTGCTCCCGCGTGTGTACGACGTAGCGCAGCCGGAGGGGTCACAAACAATGCGCACCTCAAAAAGATCAGTGATAGTTGCAGTCATCGTCAGAGTCATTGTTACAAGTTCTTACCATATCCTGTCTGAATCATGTCATATCAAGATTCATGAACTCAAATAAATAATGTCTGAAACATAGACCACTCATCAAACATAGATTCATGTAACCTTCTAACCTTCTAACTTCTAACCTTTACAGCACTGTATGCTGTACCCACGCAAAGAACTCTGACATAGCCAGGCAACTTGGCTGGCTGTGCGCCGTCTGCAACCAGCAATGTTGTTCGTTGCACCTCATTTGTCAACCCGAAGGCGACAAACGATGACTATACTAGAGACATCGTTGGGACAGAAACACACACAGTATTCACAAACACTTCAACTTCAGATAATGTAATCCCGAACAGACCAGTTGCCAGAACAGAGAATATAGCATCAAGAGAGCCACTTCCTTTGGAGTGGCGGACACGTTGCATCTGAGATGTCTCGTCAAATTCAATGAGGATCTTCCCCACACGCAACCCATCACCCTGCCGACCCTCGGAAAAAATAAGTCAAGTCAATTGTAATTTGAAGAGGAACAACTGAGGTTCTGAAGAAGCGTGCATTCACCACAGAAAGCACTAGACCTGGACAAGTTTCACCTGCCGCCAGAATTGCTTGGCAGTAGAGTTTCTGGCCCTTCAGGAAGAAGTTTGCCACTGCTGATTGCACCTCACCAGACACGATTCACTCTCACGCTTTGTTTGGCTTTGCCATGCAAGGCTTGAGCAATTCCCAACATTGTGCAAATCACGCTTCAGTACCTAGTACCTAGTGACTCGTGACCCTAAACATAAATGCTGATGCTGATGCGAGGTCAGCGCTGCAAATTGGAAAGGTCTCGTGTGCACACGCTCACACAGGTTTGTCTTTGTTAAGATTTGATTTATATCAATCAATGAATCATGAATCATTATCATATCGAATCATATCATAGATCGGTCCATATCATATCGTATCATATCATATCATATACAAACATGTTGATAGTAACAAAACTCAACAGATTAGTTTTCACCCTTCAATTGACAGGTAGAACTGTAGCCTTCAAAGCGGTACTTAAGGTACAGCGGTGCACTCCCACTATAAAACGGACCATCCACACTCTATGCTTCAAGTCTCTTGGGAGATCCATGCATGGGACGACCTCATCCAGTACGCAACGGAGCTATACGCCATTGAAGTCATAGACTTGTAAGCCAATCTGGAAGATGTTTTCAATGCGCTCAATGTACTCCAGCCGAACCTGATGTGGTAGTTCACTGGCCACTCATCTTCAGAAATCAAAGAGCTCTTTCAAACTATGGCTTCGAATGACTGAACATCATTGACCTACATTCAGAAATTTACATTGTCGCTTCCTTCATGAGTTCATTAGTTGTTCAGGGTCACATCTTGTGTCCATGTATCAACAACAGCCCTCGCAACCAATGAGCAGTGTGCAAAGTCAACAAAGGAAGCAAGATGCTCCAAAAAAACAAGTGTCCAAGAAGGTGTCCGCCTTGCTGGATTTTTTTGCTAGATCCGAATGAAAGCATTCAATAGAAGCCACAGAACTGAACAAAATTGTTGCGATGTGCCAAACCAACAAGGGCGTGAAATGAATCTGAGTTATGAACCATGAATCATGAATCACACATTTAGATTAGCATCATCATCGCCTCTCCTAATCCCAATCAAGAAACGATGCTCTAAGAAGAGCTTCTGGCAGCCAGCGTCTATATGACCCACGGCCCCTAGTCTGGCCACATATATCTCCTTCACGGACAGCGTGCCCCTCGATGTATTTCTTTGCCAAGGACCTGAGACCCATGTGGAAGCCATCTAGTCTTTGCTGCCTGTAGTTTTATGAAATGCACTGTAGCTTCTAGAGCAACGCAGGTAGCTTCAAGTTAGGCTAGTAAACTTTAAGCTGCCTTCGAAATGGAATACCTGTGAACAGGTAGTAACACTTACAGTAGTCTTTGATCCTAGTCAGGTTTTCAGGAACCCAGAAGTGTATAGCAAGACCACTGTGTAACGGAAGCAAGGCCGCTGTGTAGCAATACCGCTATTGGAAAGAATTTTAGCCTTTAAGCCTATCAAAATATCAAACCACCAGTTCCGCCCAGAAACGCAGAGATTCCAAGTGCTTTCTGATCGCCAATTGCATGCACCATCAGTACACAGGCAAAGGTTGGACCATTTGAATTCAGGCACAGTCAATTAAAGTGAGGTGAGATGTGTGTACATGACAGCTAGCTATGGCTGGAGGCCATAGGCTATAGGCTATAGTCACTATAGTCATAGCCACAGTCTTGTCCATGGCGCATAGTCTTATTATATAGGGAAAGCCGAAGTGAGTCTTACTATGTACAGAAAGCCAAAGTGATTCATTGACAGTTGATCATTGATAGTCGTTTTTTCCTACTTGTTAGCATGTCAGCGTACAACAATGCAAACGCTTCGTGCATGCTGTCTGTCATTGATTTGGGTCGGTTGCTGGCCAATATATTATATATGCTGTTCTTGTCCTGAAACAATTATGATGCAACAAATCAACCTATTGCTTCATGCGTCCCCTTTCCTAGGACCACGTAAGTTGTCAACGAGCGAGCCCAAAACCAAGCAACGCTCGCACGTACGTCGCACGCACGTCGCACGTTCCCTCGTCCATACCTCGTACGCTCGAATGTCTCGTTCATACCCTCGTCAACAACACGTTCGTACACTCGTTCGTCATGTGGTCGTACACCCGTTTGGTGAGTCTTCAAAAATGCTGTTAGCGAATTCTTGGGTCAAGCATATACGCGTGAGTCTACAAGCATTTTTCCGGCGAGAACTATGGTCGAGAAAGGGGCACCTTGACATTTTCTTGGATGCACAAGCCTTGCAAGACTATTTCACTTGTCAACTTGGACCTAGGTCCCTTAGGTGCAGAGTCAATGGACGTGCCTGAAGAAAGTGATACATATAGGGCAGGGTTTCACAGGGTTACGGATTTTCAGTGCTTTGACATTTGCGTTCAAAGTCGGAATCTGGCGTGTGTCCAATTGCGTCTCATCGCCTTATGCTTGCATGCTGTGAGAATGTCATTGGCACGAGCACAGGTGAGTGGAGAGACGATTGAGGCAGGGCCCAGGGTCAGGCCGGCTAAGATGGATGGGTTTTTCTTCATGCAAAGGGGTAAGAACATGCATGAATCAGAAGATCCAAAGGCACTGGACCATCATTCAGCCGTCGTATGCTGTCGTTCCGCACTCCAAAACCAGCCACAATGTGTCCAGAGTCTTCGCGGGCAGATGTTTGCAACATCCTCCAAGGCCGGTGGGAAAATGCACACCGCCTTTGTCTTCGTGAAGCCCCATGCGGTGCATGAGAAGGCCCGGGTCCTCTAGTCCGGGGAAAACCCTCAGCACATGGATGCGCACCAGCTCGATCCAACGGAAAGAGCAGAACCACCAGGCATAGGCAGGCAATGGGAGCCCGTGAAACAGGATCCAGCATCGTTCGTTGAGAAGGATTGTGAAGAACACAAATGTCAAACAGGATCGACCGGACCCGATACTCATGAGTGAGTTATCGGATTCGAGTAACTATACCAGACTCTACCAGCGGCACTTCGGACACCAAGTGTAGGCTCCAGAGACGCTTTCTGCCATCCACTCTTGAGAGCTTTTGGGATCACCTGGGCGGATCACCTGGGCACATGCTGAATTGGGGCCCAGGACATACATCAGTTTTAATGTTATATATATATATATAACTTGTGTGATCTTGTGTGTTTTCTCACACATGTTCTTGTAGTTGCCACCCATTGGTGCGGCATTCATGCCCCCCCAATCAGAATGACGCGCCCTGCTTTGGACAAAGGTAAAGACCTTGGTGAAAGACAAGCTCAGAGCAGAGGGACTGAATCTTGCAGCAAATGATGGGTGAACAGCTCTAAGCGAGGGTGGATCCCAAAGCCGTTCATCAAAGGAACATGGGCGTGTGGGTGATGTTCCTTGGAAGCCAGGCTCAAGTCTGTTTCAGGCGCGCAGCACCACTCACCTCCACTCACCTATATGGGTGTGGAGTTTGGTATGCCTTTCCTTAGACTAGTGGGTCATTCGGGTCTGATATCATCTGCCCCAGTGATCCAACCCTGTACGACGTGGGCGCCGTGATCGAAGCCACCTGTGGGTCCGATCGAGGACCATCAAGTCGGAGGGCCAAATCAAGTCCACCGTCATTGATGAGAAGAAGTTGATCGACACCCACTACGGAGCTATTGCGGCCAAGGCGGTGACGATGAAGCCACAGGACCTCACAGTCCAGGAGAA